CTGCTCTATTTCTGCTTTTCTTATTAACTCCCTTGTTAATCTTAGTAGTGCAACCTCATTTGGATTCTGTTCTGTTAGCATGGCAATGATTTTGTCTTCTCTATCAGGTATAATATATATTTTATCTGCTTGATTAAGGAATACCCCATTATGTACACTATTAATGACTCAGTATACTCTTTGGATATATGTTGTCATTAGACTATCACCACATCCTCCTAGTGTATTCATATTTTTGTTTTATTTTTGTATGTATCTGCTTTGTTTTGTTTGTATGTAATTGGTTTGTTTGCCTATGTGACTGGTTTGTTTGTCTGTTCATGTGTTTGTGTTCTCGTAATCAAAACAGATCTGCAATACAGGATTAGTACCAATTTCCCAAAAATTTTTGTCTATACATATTTTCAAAAGACAAATTTTTGGTTTCTCTTGTTTTTTTTTTGTTAATTTACTTATTTTTAGTTGCCTCTTCTTTTCTTGTACCTTTTCTGGATGCTCTTCTTTTTTAGTTAATTCTACCAGAGTGGTTCAGACAGCTGTTTTTGTATAAAATTGATTTTTGTTTCTTGTCGAATTTGTGTTTGAGTGATCAGTGGGAAGAGTTTTTATAATTTGTTATAGTTCTATTTCAATTTTACAGAATTTAAAAAAAGAACATATATAATAATTAGAAACAACATTCAACCTTATATATATAATAACATACTTACACAACCTGGTAGTGTTATTATTATATATTTATTTTTTAAAGATGACTACAAATTTAGAATATTTTAGTATATCTCTCTCATCACCTAACACAAGTTTACTTAAAATACTACTATTACATAGATATAACAAGCAATATCTTCTAATTTATACCCCAACATATTTGAAGATTTTAATGCAAATAATAATAACACTGCATTATTAATAACTAAATTTTAACTATTTAATTACCCATATAATATAAATTAGTAGTCAATACTAATAATTTACACAACACCTGGCACAGCTCTTGATATCAAATCAGAATAAACTATATATGGACTCATAATGCACTTATACTATACCTATATAAATTTAAACTTGACAATTCATTATCTTCTACCAATAGTGACCATCAAATTCTAACTTCAACTTGGACATTTCTATTTATTACAACCAATTATAATTTATTTAGGTGGTGTTATAATACTTACTATGTTATTTTCTTATTAAACTTTAATAATAAGGTTCTAGCACTATCTTTTTATTATTAATATATAATAAAAATAGTTCTGTTTATTTACTTTAAAAATTCATAAATGGATTCATAATAAACGTAATTATAACACTGCCTATTTATATGCAACTACTATTTAATTTTTTAAATATATCTTTTTGTTTTCTAAAAATAATTTCGACTGGCCAATCTGTGTTCACAGGTTATATATTAACTTTTTCTAGTCTTAATATTAATTTTTATATCTATAGGTCTATTTACGGTATGATAATGATACTTAGGAATATCATTGTTATCATTCGAATTTATATCAAATTTACAAACAAGATTAACCAAGGAAGTTTTCATTTGAATCATAGCCCAGGCACGACCAGGACACATGCGCACACCATTCCCAAAAGGAAGATAAGTGTATTTAGTAAATGATTCTTTATCAGTTAAAAATCTATCAGGATTAAAAATTTCAGGATCTTTAAAGTATTTAGAATTATGATTTAACGCATAAAAATCAGTATAAACAGTTGTATCAGCTTTAATTGTAAATCCATCAAATTGAATATCTTCAGTTGCAGCACGAGGCATAATTGATACTGTAGGGAAAATGCGGATGCCTTCATAAATCACGGCTTCTATATATTTAAGTTTTTCACATGACTCCAATGTAATTACAGGTTTGTCAAGTGTGCCGTAAACATCTAATACTTCTTGTCTCATTTTTAAATAAATATCTCGATGTTTAGCAAGATAGAAAATAATGTATGTTAAAGAGTTCGAAGTAGTATCTAATCCACCGGTAAATACTTCACGTAATATTGAAATTACTTCATCTTTTGTTAACGGTCTATCAAATTTACCGACAGAAATTTTGTCTAAATCTCTTTCTGTGTTTGTTGTAAGTAGCAAAGTTAAAATATTTGGTTCAAGAGGCTGACCCAAAGGTGTATTTTCAATTTCCTGTTGCTTTTCGGAAATGATTCTGTCCAATTCTTGATATATCCAATCTTTATTATCCAAATATTTCTTATTTATACCTTTAATAAAAGGGACATTTATTCGAAACGCTGTTGGAATTAATAACATAAATGCCATTGATTCGTTATACAAATGAATTGCTTGAGTAAATTTTACGCCATTTTCCCAAATTCCTTGTAATTTTGATTTTTTATTTTCAATATTTAATGAATTAAATAATTTAGTTGCTGATGCCATACTTTTTCCGGTTGCAGTTGTCGAAACGATGTCAGCACCCAAAGAAATCAACCACTCGCAAATGTCAACTTGCATTCCTTCTTTTTCAATGATTTTCCAATATTCAAACATTTTATCAATAACTTTATTTGATATATTGATTGATTCACGTAAAAAAGGTGGTGAAGAAATAGTATTTATAAATCTTCTATTGATAGCCCAAACTTCAATATTACGATTAAATACCATTCCTTTTGTACCTAAATCAAGGTCATCAAGACCTTTAGAATATGAATTACGCATAATAAATTTTGTATTTTTAAGAGACGCTGGTCCCCATATTTTTTCGGCTAAATCAGGTTTACTAATAACAATCATGCGTGTACTTCCCACATAAAATTCGTATAAATCACCATATTTTTCATGAAATTTTTTTATTGCGGCTGTGAAATCTGCTCCAATTTGGTGAATATTTCCCATAATTGGTAAAGGGAGTGGACCAGAAATTTTTGAGGGTCGATTGAAATAATTAATGTAATATTGGATTACATTAGTAAAAATAATCAAAAACAAGATTGTAAAAAAATTACTTTTAATGACATAAATTAACTGATGTAACATATTTACGAACATTTTGAACAGAAAGTTTGATTCAAAAAAAATTGAAAGATATCAATTGGGAAAATACAAAACTCCAATACGGGTCTTCAAACGATTTTATACCTGCTTGCAACAACAATTTTTATTATTAAAAGTATCGAATTTATTTTAGGCATGATTATAATATTTACAAAAAGATTTATAGGTTAATCTCCGGGTCTTTCAAAATGCGAAATGATTTTCGTACATCGGTTTTGTATAACATTGACGCTAATTTTATTTCGACCAATAGAGTTAATTTCTTGGTCTTTCAAATAAATTCATCTAATAAAAGTCGTCTTTTCAATTTTCTAATTGAGCATTAAATTGGCCCGTTATGGTTGTTTAAAAGTTCAATAAAGGACATCCTTTAAAACGACACATTAGTCTAACTTATAACTAACAACGAATATAATGTTTTTAACTTGTAACACAGACGTGTATAGTGATGGGTAAATCGCGCAAAATCCGTGGAATATAGTAGAGTTTTTTTAATTTTTCATGAATTATAAAAATATATATAAAGATTATCACTAGAAATATAATTTCTTGTCAATAATATATTTTAAACAATCATTTCTTATAAATCTTACTACATTTAATATTTAAACAAGGATTAGTAAGAACTACCAATGGCAAAAAATAATTTAAATCAAGTACATGTATATATATAGTATAGTAAGATAGCTGATTGTTGTCACACGAAACCAGGAACGGGAGACGTGAGGAGTATCGGTATTACATTTAGTAAATTTATGGGTTGTCGCACTATTGAACTTTGATTTATGGTAAAGCAGATCCCCGAGGAACAAATAAATTTTTAGGATTATATGTAGCGTGACATGATCAAAAAGATTCAAAACAAATGTTCTTTTGTCAAAAATTTACCCAATAAAAACTTTCTAAAGGTTCACCATCGTGTTAATTATAACTTAAATACGAATGTTAGCCTTTATAGCAATGAGTTTTAAAGAAATTTGCATTACTTGAATATGTGCCAGGTTCGTGGTGCAGTAAAAATTCTTTAAAGCTTATTTATATTAGGTTTAGGTCCTTGTTTAGGGATTAGTTTATGAATGCATCAAAATTTGAAGATCCTTTCGTCGGGCTGATCCGGAATGATCGAATTTGCCATAGATGCACCTATACGCATGCACGATAGCCTGTTACACGTAGATAGAGAAGCAAATTAGGAAAATCAAGTTGCATATAGTGATAGACGAAAACCCCATACGTACAAATTTCTAATTACATATACCATAGAATAGCGATAGTGCAAATGAGCTCGTATCTATTATGAATATAGAAATAAGTAGTGATGGGCCACGCACGGAATTCATTAAACTACAAAAAATGCGCCAACGGCTGTGATCAACAACTTCTGGTCCGCATTATACATAATTTTGGTCGGAATTCAATTTTTTTAATTTTTAATTGCACAAATGGAAAATTTATGGTTTGGGCCAGGAACATATTTCACTTAGGATTGCAAATTACATTTTACAAACTTGCAATACATGTAATTTCACATAATTTTAATAACATACTTAATATGATTCCAAAATAAGACTATCTTGCCGGCATTACCATGACACCTGGCTAGCATTAATATAATATCTAGCCTGATTAACATATTCAGCTAATTCCTAATTAGAATTTGCTTATTCATTTGCATATCATTTCACACATAAATATATATTATAAGGTAGCTGCACGACACCGTCGTGCTAAAACCAGGAACGTAGATTCTGATTACAATTATTTAAAGTTTAATAGAGAATACCAAGTGGGGTAGCAGACAAAGTATGTATAAAACTACTTTGATATTTAGCAAACCGTCAAATATTTAACAGATTAAATATTTCACACCAATGATCTGCATGACATCAAACAATGCAGATCATTTGTTGAACAGCCAATCAGAATTGTTACATAGTGCATTTAACACCCCAATCCTACGTATCGGGTGAATAATGAGTATCAGTGTGATCAAGAGTATAATTAAAATAATCAGTATAAACATTATCATCAGTATACGTAATGGGTATAAACGTTATAAACGATATATCACGAATAAAATGTATAACGTGTCCTATGTAAATGAAAGTATATAATAAAGGCTTCGAGCCCTCCAAGAACAGTTCAGTTAGTTCTCATCATAAATTCGCTCCCAATAATTTCCCTGTTTAAACATATTATAAAACCTACGATCATAAATACACCACTCGCCAAATCTAACCGCCTCTTATCGACTAAGCCGTTCGTAGGTTACACGACATATCCCATCGACAAGTGACTGACTCGCCGTTTCGCTCGTGTCAATATTTATACATTGTGTACTTTCTAATCTGTTTATTTGTATTCAGGTCTCTCTTCTCTCTCTCTCTCAGTTTATGACGAAAAACATGTATAAACTATTTATATTATTCATACATTATTTTTATTCGGTTTAAAGTTTTACACATAAATTAATTACATATACAATGATATTTGACGTTTACATTTTGATCTAATATCATTTATATTGTTATAGGCGGATATACGGTCACTGGTACATCCACAAAGCCCAAGAGAAGCGACGAATTGTCGCTTCAGAATAGGTTATGCTGCGTAACGTCCCTAGACGTACTAGAGACGGAGTCGATCTGGCACAGGGCTAAGGCAATCGTTGGGTAACGTTACGAAAGGGAAATGGGACCTTGGTCTCGTGGTATGTTATTATTTTTATTTTGTTTGCTCTTTGTATTTGAAATGCGATTGAAAGGGCTTTAATGATAATTTTTTATATAGGGGGGTATGGCACGAATTTCATGAACTACACGAACTGCCTTTGACAAGAGAAACCCCTAACCCGTATTTATAAGAATTTTACAGGGAAAAAGAAGAGGATTTTCAAACACATATTTGTAGCTTTCACAAAATTTTCTCATTCAAATAAGCCGTTTTTACTCATTTTACTAACAGTTTTTCCTTTTTTACAACTCAGGCTTCGTTCCAGTAGTAATTTTGCATAGGTTTCACTCCTTCAACGACGACGCATTTATACTTTTCCTGTCAAGGTAATATTACCTTGACAGATGTCATGATATCGCTATATCGGGTAAGTACTTCTTGTCAATGGGATATACGGCTTTCGATGGGGCTTGGCTTGTGCATTCAACTGCAAGGGGGATTGTCGTTCATTTATTCGGAGTCACGGCATCAACGGTTTTTTGTGGGGCGTTTCGGGTGTCATCTCGCGATGGTTTTCTAAGGTCACAGGGTCGGGTTTACCTATAACAATATATTATGATATTTGGATTATTAGATTTTAATCTAAATTTTGTGATAAAACCAATATTGTTTTCACGAATATCCAATTCTTTCAGTGTAGAATTCTTGCGAAGTGCATCAGCTAATGCTTTTCCTCCTTGCGAACCAAGTTTATTCCAAGCTAAATCTAAAAACGCTAAGGTAGTGTTCTTGCGAAGTGCATCACCTAAAGAATTTCCACTTTCTGATCCAAGTTTATTATTGTCAAGATTTAAAGACGTTAAGGTAGTGTTCTTGCCAAGTGCATCAGCTAATACTTTTCCTCCTTCTGATCCAAGTTCATTACCGTAAAGACGTAAAGAAATTAAAGTAGTGTTCTCGCAAAGTGCATAAGCTAATGCTTTTCCTCCTTCTGATCCAAGTTTATTATAACCTAAATTTAAAGATGTTAAGGTAGTGTTCTTGCAAAGTGCATCAGCTAATGCTTTTCCGACGTCAGATCCAAGTTCATTATAACTTAGATCTAAATACATTAAGGTAGTGTTCTTGCAAAGTGCATCAGCTAATACTTTTCCGCCTTCTGATCCAATATTATTTGATCCTAAATCTAAAGACGTTAAGGTACTGTTCTTGCAAATTACTTTTATTAACGCGGTTATTTTTTCCGATCCACAACATTTCTCAGAAAGATTCCACGTTGAAGCGTTTTCTTGATCTTTATTAGTATGCTGACTGTTCTTGAGAATTTGTTCATAGAATTCTAATACTTTGAGAAATTTGCCTTGCTTAAAATATTCTTGGACTCCTTTTCTCATATCCTCAATGTTAACTTCTTGCATCGAAGTGTTTGAACTTGTTGTATCGGTAAAATAAAAAGGAGATGTCGTAATGTCGAATGAATTTCCAGGTGCAGTTGGATTATCCTGAATTGAGGAAGGATCGTTATTTTGAGTTGATGCAGAAATTATATTGTGCTGACTCAAAGGTTCAATAATATTTATTGTATTAGGTAAATAAAGAGGAGATGAAGTCGTAATGTCGAAAGAATTTACGGGTGCGATTGGATTATCTTGACAACTTGAGGAGGAATTATCGGTACATTGAGCAGATGCACAAATGGTATGATGTTGACTCAAGGTTTCGTTAGGAATAAGTTGCTTCAAAGTATCGAGAATTTCTTTTGTTTCTGGACGATTTGCAGGATCACTATCCCAACATCGCTTATAAAGTTCGACATATATAGGCGGTGTACCTTCTATCGGTTCTTCTCTCTTCCCTTGAGAGATACGAACAACAACTATTTCGTTTATTAAGCGATGAAATGGTGGTCTTCCACTTGAAATTTCCCAAAGAATGACACCAAAACTATAAACATCAGATTTTTTATTACGCTTATGTCCTTCTTTAATAAAGCACTGTGGCTCAATATATGCCGGCATTCCACGAATAACCGAGTTTGAAGACATAGACGTTTCCTTTATCTGTTTTGATAATCCAAAATCTGCAATTTTTGGTTGTTTTTGATGAATTAAGATATTTTTTGAATGCTACAAAATATGTTAGAAATATGCTAAAACATTTGTTGTAAATACGAACATGTAAAAATAATATACTTACTAGATCTCTATGAATAATATTTTTACCGTGTAAGAACAGAAGACCATGCGATATTTCTTTGGCAATTCGTAATTTATCTGTCCATTTTAACATTATAAAATTCGCTTTCAAATATTCTCGTAAATTTCCATTATCAGCGTATTGTAAAACCAGATTATAATAACCATTATTGTCTATGTATTAAAATTAAAACGACTGATTAAAAAACTTATTATTTCATATTTTGAATAATGAATTGGATATATACCTTTTGTGACTCCATAGAATC